TCAATCATGTTATGTAATTATTTACTTACTTGGTATGACCTGTAAAGCTCTATCATCAACAGTAAATAATCCGGTAACAGGTTGTTGTCCAACAACTGTCCAAAGGAAATCTTCTTTGGCTGCTTCCTGCAAAATCTCTGGAGATTTAGCAAGGATCATTACAACATAAACTTCAAGCGGCTTGGGACCATGCTTCTTAGGTTGCAAAACAAATGGTAGAATAGTGTTCTTCGTAGATTATGCAGGCTTTCATAGTTGGGATTGCCAGGTTGGACTATGCGTTCTGCAGAAGGCTACAGATAAAATGGTATTACATTCAGGGGATGGAGGCCAAGGCATAGTGTGCTTGATGACTATATCTTTCTGAAAAAAAAAATAATCACGCAATATATACAATTTCCTTTGAAAAAACAGCTTTACTGGTAATTTATGAATATGCAAATTAGCTAATTAGCATATATGATGTCATAAATAATTGGGCCAATCCACGATTTACATTTTGGTACCAACTTTACTTCTATATCTTCATATATATTGAAAATATAAAACTTTTAATGATTTCGTAATATTTTCAGGTTGCCATAGCAACATGTCAATTTTAACCACTTTTAGGGCATTTGCCGTTCTGGAAACAAGCATTTTTGAAAAAGTCAGAAAATTTTGCATAAGAAAAGTCTGTTTCCACAATGTTTGACGTGGGGTGCAGCTAAAACCTTTTTTAGAAAGCTTTTGAGAAGTAGCTTCCAGACTAAATGTTATGGTACGACTTATATAAACACTTTGCTATGATTACTTCTCGTTTTCCTTTCTGTATTAATTGCTCTGTTTAGAGTAATCGTATTTTAATATAGTTAAAACAAGTCATTTGCAAGTCCTTGCATGTCAATCATAATAAATTGCTCAGTTTGTAAAGTCAATGTGACTTTTGATTATCATCACATGATTTCCTTATATGGCAACCAGACGAACCTTAAGTAGCAGAAGATTATGTCGCACTTTTTTTTTGCTTGAACACTTTCAGACTTTCTGAATGCAAACACTGACAGCTTTTACCAAGATTTGAAGGCGTTTGTGTGTACTAAACTCGTGTTGTTTATGTTTGTGATAAATTTAGATTTGCGCGTCCCTGAATTGCAACATTGCAACAACAAAACTCAAGATCCACGAAGATGAATGGGTGCAACAGGTACAAACCAGACTTCTCAGCATCAGCAATTTTACATGATTTAAACTATCATGAATGAAGACCCTGAATCTGAAAAAATCGGCTCATTAAAACAGCTGCATAACTTATTAAAAATGATATACAATCGTCCAACACAACACTGAAGAAATGCAATGCACTGAGAAAGCCATTGAGTACCTTTCATCCACCCTGAAAGTTTTACTTCAAAATATGTTGGTTGGAAAAGACACTGATGTTTAGGTGGCATCCATAGGGCAGGTCATCATGCAGTCAGTTCGCCCACGAGTTATAGTGACTTCACTACAAATAGGACGTGCTGTTCAAATGCATCGTCAGTTTGGCTCACGAAGTTTGAACGTAGTACCACCTGGCACCAAGGAACTGACATTCCTGGTTTCAAACCCAGACAATTTATACAACATGTAGCTGATAATGTTGACCATAATGTCCGGACACGTTTCATGGTATGGGCATAATAACGACCATAACACCAGGGATATTATAAGTAGTTGTCAAAGGGCATGGCCATATTAAAGTATGCCAAGTTACTCAGTTTGATAGCAGGTGATGATACATTGAATGTTTATCTATCATATGAGCAATATCAATACCTGAAAAATTCAATTTTCCCATTGTCCGATTTTGGTAGACTTTTGATATGTTGTTTATAGATGTCTATTATTGCTAAATCTGCAAAGAAACTTTCTGTTGCAATTTTATCCGGGTTGACCTAAAAATCAAATTGGATTGACTGGACTACTAGCTTTTAAATGACATCGGCTTCACACTCATGTTGCAGTGATCTGTTACAGATGCAGATTTATATTTCATTCATTGTTTTTAAAATATTGTTACTATATTGTAATACAGGTTATTGCATGGTTAAATATCTGCGGTAGGTAAAATCAGTGCTAAAAAACAATAAATATTTAACATGCTCTAAACAATTGCCCAACGGTTTAGGTCTTGGGGTTTTTTGGGTGACGCCATTCTCAATGACCTTAGCCACCGTTTGAAACAATTATTCCGGGTCAAACCCTAAATCCACTGGACTAATGAATGCATGCGTGTGTGTGTGCGTGAGTGAGATTGGGCCCTACCATTACAACTGTAGTAATCGTATTTTTGTATCAGTGTAATTTTATGACAAAGTTACACTATCATTATGCTCAGTGGATAAGTTTCATATTCCCAGTTTCTCCAGTTACAGTTTGATTACTGTTATATATGCTTGGTATTTTTTAAAGGTTAATTGTTTTGCTATATGGTTGTAGGAAAGACATACACAGGAGTCATGGTCTTATTTTGGCAGGGACATTCCAGTTTAAAAATTTCTACGTATTTCATCTTAATATAATAAATATAACTTTGCATATGCTTAAGATATGTTTATTTCATTAAACTCAGTAGAATTGCTATGAATCTAAAAGCAAAACAACATGCTGTCGGTATGATCCATTCCACAACTGATCCAGCAACAACTAATATTAATTACAAGAGCTATATCTCATCACGGTTAACTTTTCAGCGGACTGCTCTGTCATCAAGTAAAAGTCATTTTGCTGTGTTTATCTTGTTGCAGCTGCAAAGATAAACAAAGATAGGCAATAATATTTAAAAATAATAATAATAAAAAATATTTCTTTCCTTAACAAATATAGATTCGTTTCTATTTTGTACAATAGCATAATAATAGAAGAAATAACTTATAATAATACAAAAAATAGATTACCTCTGCGGTACTTCCCAGCTATATCCAAATTCATTTATATCATCTGTCAGCTGTAGCGTTCCATCAGATAACAACATTTTCATATCATTGCCACTCTCTCCATCACCATCGCCGAGTAGCCCACATACCCGACCATACCATGCTTTATCCAGCCTAGCCCTGATAGCCCCGTTACCATTCCAGTTAATAGAAAACATACCAGGCTTCGTGACAACAATTTTATTCTTTGGTTTATTAAGACCAATTTCAACATCAGTGTCAACAGTTATTGGTAGCATAGGTAGAACAGATTTGCCATTCACCTAAATATGGGTTTACAATGGAGTTGTAACAATAAACATGATCTGGAAATTATAGTACGTTTTGCTATGGTCATGCTGACTATTGTAATGTAATGAGTGAATTGAAGAAAACTTCAATTAATGCTGTTCTAGCTGATATGTAATAACTATTACATTTTATTTCTTTGTTTTTACCAAAAATTAATCATAAATAACTCAAAGTTATTTTTGCGAAATAAATGAGCGTAAGGAACATCGTTCATATTGATTTGTGATGTAATTCGTCAATAAAAATAGAGATTTATAATATGATATAATAAATCATTAGAATAAGTGATGATCAATTTTGACATATTGTAAATAATTTTGTCACTGAATAACCATCCATATGTTCGAATATTTGTAGAGGTCTTCAGGTTGATTTTGGATATGATTTTCATTGGCGATGCTGTAAATCGCCAACTACCTATCACCGAATCTGTACTGATTGAATACCGGGTGCATTATTCCCCATGGTAATTGGTGCAATGCAATGAGAGACACTTCATCCAATCATTGGATATAAGAGAAGGTGATGATTACCTTTACGTCAGTATTCTGTAACTCAATTACAGTATGTGGTAACATGACCCATACAACATATACGTAAGTTTTGTTGTGACCGGGTCCCAATGCAGAAATGTGTTCAGTATGGACAGCAAAGCGTGGTTTGTCGGTACAATCCTGGAATAGTTTATATGTACACGGTCCATGGAACTCGTAACTTAAACCATCAAACGTTGTAAAATGAGGATCGCCGGACTCTCCATTTTCTGTGGATGACAATGTTTTACAGTATAAGTGATGACTAACACTGCAGTACTTGTTGTCAAAAAGATATAAATCTTAACTGTGCATACTGTACTAAATACTCTTAATTTTTACACCATTCTAAACTGAAGTACATATATACAGTAAGACAATGGGTGTGCAGTCATCCATGCAGGTAAATTGGTATAATTATATTCCCATAAGCATAATACATAATATTATGTAATTGATATATAAACATGTAACAGATATGCTATAAATATCTTGAAAATCCAATTTAAGAATTGAACAGTTCTACACAAAACACATAATTTAGTTGTATTATAACACTGTTCACAAGCAACATGCATTGTTCTACTTGCATTGCTTTGGCAATACTAGTTACCTAAATATGTTAAAAAGCTCTATATTGACTAGATTGCGTAAGCAGTATGATTACTAATACTCTAGTCATAGACTATGTTGGATTGAGTGCTAATGGCATAACTAAGCAATTTAAAAAGTTTCATGCACAAAGAAAATCACGGAATATTAACAGTACAATAAGTGCATGCGTGTGTAAATATTCATCTATTTCATTATACTCATTTGCGATGAATATATTCCACTTCATGAATGCTACGAAACGACAAATCAGTAATAATAGACAAAACAATCTACAAGAACAAACAACACAACTGTACACGCCATCACATTATATGGACCAAGTTATATACATTAATTAATTAATTATTATTGTATTTTAAAAGCTTATATCTGCCAAATGATAAGGCAATTGCTCTACAAATATTTGTCAATTAGAAAGTCCAACATACTGATAATGTCATCTTCAGTGTGAACAAGTTTTGCGTCAGTCTTGTTCTAAACAAGATAAATAGAATCGTATCTAACCACTATGTACTTGTAATGAAAATGTTTAATGGATAATGTTATGTATGCGTAACTTTAATTTGTTATGGCTATAGTAGTATATAAGGTATACAAATAAAAAGCCTTGATAGAAGTCACATTTATTAGTGATTTTAATTTCAATTTTCAAACCTCTTTTGAAATGTTCAATATCCACATTTGATTTATACCATATTTAAAACGGAATTTTGGAGACCCTCTTTGATAGTAGACAAAATAGTTCTTGATTGAACATTTAAACGATTCAGCAGTAAATATATGTAAACTAGGAAATGTATACTCCATAGGTAAGAAAGAGTGGTATATTGCTGTAAATTGGTGACATTGATGCAGATACTTTTTTGAAAATATATATCCTCCCCACACACGAAGATGACATTATTGAAAAAAAAAAATATATTTTTCGTTCTTAACAAAGCAGGCAGAATTGTATCCAACCACAATGTATTTGTAGCTACTAGAACTATTTTCTTAGAATGGACAACTTCAAATTATCGTGTGATAAAGTAGTATGGAAATAGTGTTAATGAAAGTCACATTTGAAAATAATCGACATTTATAAGTTATACTATTTCAATATCTAGAATTATGTTAGTAGCCAGTGTTTGATAACTGACAAAATAGATATTTTAAACATTTAGATAAGTTTAGTTTTGTAGAGCGTTTAAGCATCGAATACAAGCTGGGCGAGTAATCGAGTTCTTTCTTGCTGGGAATGTTTGTATATGTCATTACTGACTTCTGAAAGAGATTCTTTTTCACTAAACGTTATTTGTTTGTAATCATAATCGTTATTCTCCGTGATCTCAAGTTCTCATAATAATATTTACTTACTTATAATATTGTTTGATATTTTGTGTATAGAGACAACTACATATATATCATGAAAATGAGACAGGCAAGGTATAAACTGTTATGCATTCATTCATTCGCATGCATTGCATTTTTATATAGCTGCTAGCTGCTACAAATATTTACAATATACAACCATTAATGTACATACGCTTCTTTCCTGCAAAGAAAAATAAATAATATGATTATAATAAACATGATAGACGAACATTTAAATATGCACAAAATACTTTCAAAGATTGCAATAATTTAATCACACATACTTTTTCTGGCACAACATATCTTGTCATGAGGACAGTTACAATCAACAAGTCTTCTTTCATTTCCTCTACAACCAATTGATTTTCTTCTGCAATTCCCGTGGCAGGATTTCCGACACGAACCTTTGAAATACAATTGTCACGTTATACTTTGTATCGACGTTATCCACATTTTTCATTTACCAGACTATTGAAGATATAATTTCGCCATGTCCGTAGTATCTATCATTCGCCATACATAGCTGAGCATGCTGTCTGGAAGGGTGTGTGCAGCATGATGTATATTACATTGTTTATATACCTCGCAGTTGGCAAATGAGCCAACTGTCAGCAGCATAAGTTAACACCTTGTGGACTGAGTTCCACTAACATATCAGAAGGCGTCGATTCAATCGACTGGATTTTTGGAGGGTTCCGAATATGGTTGCCATGGAGACAACAATTTTAAGAGGATGTTTCATCATTGTCAGACAACTCGAACATTTTAGGAGGGAATTTTCGCTAAAAGACAAATAAATATGATTCAAACGTTATGGGTGAATTTTCATGAAATTTACAGAATTGGCTGAGACACAGAATAATCAAATACATTTTGAATCGGGTTGCAGGATTCCCTGCCATTGTCTTTGCAACTATCGTCATCGTTGGTGAATAGAGATATGTGCAAGCTCAAACTGCCACAAAACAAATGAAGGAAAACGTACCGTGTTCTTTATGTTTATTTTTGTGGTAATGTACAACAGCATATATATAATACACAGGTTGTTAAAAATAAGAGGTGTCATAGTTGTTTTAATAAAAGAGGTTTCGATGTGCTTGTAGAGATGAGGTGTTATCAACCTTATAGAGATGATGAATTGAGAATATTGCCTCGCATGTGTTTTTTTTTAAAGTTAAATCCAGATTTGTAACACGTTGACAAATATCCATCTGTGATACGTACGTTTTCTCTTGCAACACCAGCAGTTGTTTTCACATGGTCCCATGCTTATTGCTTTTTCATTATTTCTGCATTGCTCGTTTAAATCGTCATCAGAGGGTCTACATATGCCCCTGCCTGGATAGTCCTTAGCACATCCTATATTTATCAAAGAGAATATAAAATTAATTTCATTACTGCCGAGGCTGATGATAGCCATGTAATAGAACAACACAAACTAACAATGTTGAGAAGTTGGGTCCATCCTTTTAATTCAAAACATTGCTGTAATAAGTAATGGTGTCTTTATTCAATGACAATTTTATAATATATGATATACGTTTATTTATTTATTGTTTATGTATTCTTTAATTATGTTCAAGAATGTATACCTGAAATGTATACCTATTTTTAAAATCCATGCATTAAAATAAAGCCGGTGTTGTTGTTGTTAATGAAATTACTTCCCAGATGTTTCACTTTGCGGTGTAATGGAATATTTAATCTGATCTATGTATTACTCTGTATTCAATCAAATGCAGATTAAAAAATATTAATGTCCAAATCCGCTAAAATTTACTTATTATAGACAGGTGTATAAATATGTCTGTCATCTATTAACACAAATTGAAGAAAAGAAAATACAACAATAGCGGACATTTACTCACCATCAGGATTTCCACATTCTGTAAAAAATGGCCAGTGCCAAGTTAGTTAGCAACTCAATGGAAATGTTTGTGATCATCATCCGCATTCGCTTAGAAA